GAATTTACAAAGAACATATTTAGCAGTACATTGAATCCTTGCTCTCATTATGTTGAAGTAGTAAATGTTAGGATGTAAATCCCTTGAAGTATACATATATATGTATATATTTGCTTTATGGTAATTAACTGAGGTATTTGCAGTCTGATACTAACTGAACTGTGAACACATTGCGTTTTTGTTGCTGTCGTTAAAGCCGGTTTATAGAACTGGTAAGAAAGGAAGCAGCAGTAGATTTTTGACTTTACAACTCCTGTGTAAGTCTTTCAGTGTTAAAACAAAGAAATGCTTCATAATTAGACTGCTTCCCACTTCACATCACGTCAAAGCTTTATTACACCACAGTGAGCAGATTCCATTGGCAAAAAAAAACAAAAAAAACAAACTGGGTGAAGAACCGGCCACCAAGTTTATGCTGATGAGCCTCACTTAGCTTGATTGGGAGGCTGGTTGCAGATGAGGTGTTTAGAGACTTCATTGCTCCCGTCAAAAGATTCATCATTCAGTCTCATTCTGCCACTACAGACCAGATTAGGGACAAACAGCTCTAGGAAAACATCATGCCGTTACTTCTGGTGCCATTAGAAGGTCAGGAACTGAGAAATGATAAAAACAATAAATCAGCAATGATTAGATGATATATCTTTTATTTTTTTATGTTTTATTTTTAGGGAGTAAATGTCCTTTTCACATGCCTCACCGTAGTTTTCATCCACTGCTTACCATGGCTAATAACCCTGTTCATACATGGCAGTGGTGTAGCTGTAATGTCCAACTTTGAGCTGCTGCCACACTGATTCCTGTATTCAGTAGACCCAAGTGGCAGGGATTTGGCACCATAGCCACCCACAATAGCAAAACTCTGTGAATACTTGAGACCCGCTCTAAGAATGTTTATGACTACCTGCACTAATAGTCCAAACACCAAATCCACCTCATTATGAATTAATATACATAGTAGAAATCATTTTAGCCAACTGCAGTAGCATATTTACGGTCTTTGGTGTATTCACTCTTGGGGGTACAGCCAATCAGTGCAAAGGAGAATAAATTTTGCTCTTGGATTGGGTGCTTTGCAAATGCCATTCAATGGTGTGTCAACTAGCATTTTGCATTTCAGCTCCCAACCTACATATTCTTGCAGGTTGGGAGCTGCTCAGCATGGTCAACAAGACAATCTGCAAATAGGCAAAGGTTCAGGTAATCCACAAATAGGTGAATCCTCCAATACTGAACCGTGAACAGGCGGGGGTCTGCTGTGCTGATAAAACGTGTTATGTAGATCTTAATGTGAAGATACAAATGGCATTTGGTGGAACGCCAAGTCCTTTCACGTTATCGAAGTGTTTTTGCTTTTCATGTTCTCTGGATTTGCATATTGAATGTCAAGGGTGGGAAGTTCACAGTGTTCTACTCCATCAGGACTGAGTATGTTGCTTTTGCTGCATATTTATTAATATGGTTAATAAATATGCAGCAGATGTTTTCAAAAAGTCTTTAAAAAAGACTTTTTGAAAGACTTTTATTGAGTTGTCAAATTATGTCTGTTTCAGTGAGAAATATTAATATAATACTACCCAATGTTTCATTGGCATTAAAACAAGATGCAGAGCACAAGAGGGGCGTTAGACATTTGCTTGCTGGTTAGAAATTTAGTCCACTTTGCTCTCTCTGTACTGCATGAGCTGGCAACATCTTCATAACTCTTGTACTAATTCACTGAAAACTTTTATCTGTCGAAGGGAATAATGCATTTCCATTTGTGCATTTGTATTTCCAACAAATAATCGTACTCATCAGATTTTCCTTATGCATACGGAGAACCATATTTTTTCTCATGAGTAGGGACAGATAAGAGCATGGTGCACTGTGGTGTTCTTTTGATCGAGAAAGGTGAGCACAAATGAAAAGGTTGACAGGCAGGTCAGTTAAAGGAAAAAGGAAGAAACGATAAAAACTGACCGTTTTATAAAAGCTAACTTTTTCCAGCCGGGTAGGAAAAAGGTGAGGCGAAGCAGCTGACAAAGCAATCTGAAAACAACTCTTGCAAACCAAACATCTCTTTGACTCTGAAGGAAAACGGCCTTGTTTGCAGGAGTTGAGGAGGGGAAAAAAGTGGTACCAAAGTTGTTGGGTGTATAAAACTTTCTTAGACATGAAGTGTCATCACTTAATAATATAAAGAGGAAGAAAAATATTTTTAAAAATTAAGCAAAGGCAGACTGGGTCCATTTCTTTTGACTGTGTGTTTATATTCCACGCAAGAGGAGTTTGTTTCTAGATCGTTTTTCAGCATTAGCTTTAACAAATTTAGTTTGTGCAAGAAGCACTTGTGTAGCTTAATGAATTCTTGGCCTAAGAAGTAGTTTTAAATAGCTGAAGGCGGTTACTGCACAGCTTGTGGTGCTGACGAGAAACCAAGAGATGCAGACATCAAATGGAGATAATTAATTCTCAAAAGCACCACATTTCTGACAGTGCTGCAGCATTGCCTCTGAAGGGTCAGTTAACAAACCTACTGCTGCTTCTGCTAATGATGTTCCAAATAAAGAGAAACTCAAAGGAAGATGAGCTTTTTGAGAAAAAAAAAAAAGCATACTTTCTCAAGCAAATCGAAATGTACAAACTGGCGCATTTTGCTCGCTCAACTTTCAAAATAGTTTTCGCTTCTTTCAAAAAATTGACTTCAAAGATGCAGGTTAGAGGCTTACAGGTGTTAGATTTTACAGAAATAATGTTATAAGGAAGTTGACTGGTCGCAGAACGGTTCGATTGGGTGTGTAGCTGGAAACGGTTTGAAACTTAGGAACTTAGCAGATGGCTGGAAGGTCCGTCCATCTGTCACTGTTTTTCCAGGTCTGGCTGGTAAAATTACCCTTTTGAAGAAAAGAGTAGAATCAGCATTTCCAGAGAGGAAATCTTGTTTCTTTCTTCTTTGATAAATAACCATCTATGCAGACTTTTCTGAGAGCCAACAGTGCTGAGGGTCCATTAACATTTCAACTCTGGGCACATTTTCTTTCACTTGATAAATTTCTTTAGATTTCAGTAAATCAAGTTGTGATCCAATTTTTATTCTTTTTTTCTTATTTTGGGAAAAACTCACAAAAATGTTCATCTAAAAGGAATGTTTGACACATTAGCCATTTGATTTTATTAGTTAGTCTATAAAATATGTTTTCTTATGTTTTTTTGTGTCTACAAATAAAATATCTGAATGACTTTTAAGTTGTGATTAGAAACCATTTTGGAAGTGTTGCTGAAAGATGAAAATATTCTTACTTCTACATCCCTATTGACCCTGCAACTGTAAAGCTGCAGAAATTACCAATATCTCTTATTCTGATCCGAATTCTTTAAGAAACAGACTGTACATGAATGCAATTTATTACTTGATTAAATTATTAAATTCACTCTTATACCTATAATTCAAAACTTGCAAGATTCAACGAGGAGTAAAATAACTGTTTTATCCATATTACCTCTCACTCTGTTGTCATCTCTTTTTCTCGACATATATTTTGTCCCATTACAAAGTAGCATTAATCTTAGCATATTAAGTATTTTACTTTTATGAATTAACAATATATCTGGCTGTATACAACTTCACTTTTCTTCCATTTATTAGGCAGGCCACACAACTCGCGTGTAAACATTTAGGGCGGTGCTTGACATTGCAATGAGCTGATGCCTGGGATCAGATAAGGATATTAAAAATAGAAATAGTCAAAAGTTCATCAGTGATGTCTGAAGTGCTCTTCACATTTATTGGCACCCCTGGCAAAGATGTGCAATAAAAATAAAAAAATAAAAAACCCTGAAAAGTAACTGCTTATCACAGTTGCATCTCTCACTGAAAATGTTACAAAAAGCCAGGGTTCCCATTTGTTTAATGGTGTAAAGAAGCTAGGTTGGACTCAACATCCTGCAGTCTCACAAAGAAATCACAGTTTGTGAGACTGAAGGGTCGTGTTTCTCACTAGGTGGCCAGCAAACACAGGAGCACCGCAGGGGATTAGATTCTCAGGACTCATTTTCACTAGTTACACCTGAGACTTCCTGCAGTATTTCCTCAGAAACACTCTTATGAATCATCCAGTGTAGAAGAGAGGGACAAAAAGCTGAGGACAGAGAGCTGGTGGACTTATCTTGTCTTGAATGTGAGCAAAACAAAGGAGGTGATCTTAAATACATTCTTAGACTTCAAGAGAAAGTATTTGATCTGTAAGTCTTGTCCTGGAGAGTGATCCTCCGGATATCATCATGGAATATCATAATCTTCACAAAACGAAGAACATTACAAGAAACACTGAGCATCGTCTTGATCAAACTGTCTTACACCATAGTATCTTCAGTCAGAGGTATTTTCAGAAACACAGGAACATTGATCACTACATGAGTTCCTTCATGTCAAATTGGTTTTCATTTTGAGCCACATCAAGAGTATGAAGGTCCTCAAAGGCGTCTTACAAAGTATTATGTTTGTGTCCCTTTAGACTCTAGAGTCCACCTAAAAAGCTATAGACATCGAGTCAAACTCGAGTTTGACACTTGTGCACTAAAATAACTCATAGAAGAAATGGGAGTAATGCAAGTTACAGCAACTGGTAACTTCCTTTAGGGGATAATAAAGTAATTTAAAATTGAACTGAACAGTAAAAAAAAAAAGTGCCATAATACTTTTTGTTTAGGATTTTGTACCCAACTTAACAAGGCGTTGCTGTAACAGTGGTAGGCAGTGTGACTAAACCTTGATTAATATAAATATATTCAGTCATCAAGATGTATTTATTACTCGTCTTTGTATTAAAACATCTAAACCTTCCTGACATTACACAACATGTCATTCTTGACATGTTGGGTCAAGAATGACATGTTGTTTCACAGCAGAGCTAAAGTTAGCACCACACTGTAACTTCCCTGGCAGTGAACTGCTAAAAAGCTTCTGCATGAATTACAGGTCAGCTCTTAACACGGTGTCATCTCCTTCCTTTCCGAAGGGCTGAACCCATCCTGACCCGGATGAAGGAGGACCACACGCGCATTATTCTCCCTGCCATCGACAACATCAAGTACAACACCTTTGAGGTGCAGCAGTATGCCAACGCCGCCCACGGCTACAACTGGGGTTTATGGTGCATGTACATCATCCCGCCGCAGGAGTGGCTGGACAAGGGCGATGAGACGGCCCCCATCAGGTGAGGGCATGAGCTGGAGAACGGCCTCCATTATGGATGAGGATGTTTGATGAAATATGGATAGCTTTGGGATATGACTTATTCATGTATAGAGCCATCAAACTGTGGGGTTCCGTGGTTCAGTGTGCTGCACACAAATAAAGCCGTCCCATAGTAAGCCGTCTAATTAACATGACGAACGTCTTCGTTTTGATGCAGGATCGCGAGGCCATTCTTGATGAGGTGTCATTAGAGTAATTGTGAGTCCAATCACCCCCCCACCAACACCTGACCTTCAAACCCCAGCCGGAGGACAGGGAAGCATAGAATATATTGATGCAATCCAGAAGATTTGATCCATAAGAAAATACAGTAGAAAAAGTAAAAACTTCACAGTGTGAGAAGAAGAACTGCAGTGACTAGTTATCACCATCAAGGTACTATAAGATTTTAAGGTTATGGATTCACAACTAGAAAAAAAGAGAAAAAGTTACATCAAACAGTTCTTATGTGAAGAGATGTTTCTTTGAGATGCCAAGAAACTTGAACTTGCAGTGTGTAACTTTTATTTTTAAAATTTTTTTACTTATTTCTTAAAACTATCACCTGACAGTATGATGAGCCACTTACTGCATTTGAATCTGGTTATGCTGTTTAGTCATTTACAGACTAAATTATGTTCCTTTTTGTTAAAAAAAAAAAGTATGCATTAGCGTAAAAAATGATCCTCCCCTTTACATTCTACTACATTGTGTTCCATTATCAAACAAAATGTAATAGATGGCACAGATAACCTGGGCTGTCTGGCAGTAAAACACAAGAAATTCAGAAACAGGTGAGAATCAAAGTCACTGGTTTCTATCAGTCTGGAAAAGGTCACAAAACCCAGAACAATAGTTCTACTCGTTGTGGGCAGGAATGTCCAGTTACCAGTTATTAGGTCCAGGACGTGATTTCTCTTTTTCGCATTGAGCGAGGTTTGTTTGGCTAGCTTTTCCCTGTTCTATTAAAAGCCATAATTTATGCATTTACTCAGATTATCTTCATTAGAAAATCCAGTTTGTCTGATCTGTAGCATTTGAGTTTATGGCAAAAGCCCATTTCTCAGAGAACAAGCTATAAATATGTTATAAATTGACAACGAAGCACAAAGAAGCACTAGCATCTCAATTACAACAACATCCATTCCAATGATTATCCCCAGAGATTATTTCATTATTGCAAATGAACAAAACATTGGCCTTTTAATATTGAATAAGAAAAACAACAAGAAAACTTCAAGCTAGTTTTATTGACTGACCGCAGTTTGTCCTCACGCTTCCTCTTCTCAGAAGCTGATGACAGTTTGGCGCGTGGCGCTAAGTGTCGTGCGTCTCTTCAAAGCTTCGTGAAAACAAGACATCGCTGAGTGTCGGCCGCTTGGCATGTGGTGCACAAGCGGCACAAGAGGAGTTTCAGACGCCGCAGAGTCGGGTCCGTTTCCCTGTTGACAATTGGCTACCAGCAGACGGATCGCCTCGGGGGCCGGCTGAAGTGTGTCGGCTGTGTGGATTTCTATTGGAAATCGCTATGCCGCTTGTTTTCTCACGGTCTGTGTCCATCAGTGACAGAAGCTCTGTCATCCTCAGAGGTCACTCAAGCAGGCTTCTTTTTTGGTTTGGATGAATTGAATCACACACACAAAAAAAAAAAAATTGCAAAAGGATGCCAGAATGTGCAAAGCTGTCACTTTCTGAGAGGACAGGAGATTGAAACCGTTTTGGAGATGGACAAAGGCTTCCATCTGCAACTGCTGTGATTATCGATGGCATGTTGAAACGGAGATGACAGAACGGAAATATTGTAGAGATGGAAACGGAGTGTATTTTCTGGAGGGGGCGAATAGGAAACACTCAACTTAAGTAGAATGATAACAGTTTCCCAAGTGGTAAAGAAAAGTGTGAGCATGATGAAATTGGACAGAATAAATTCAGCATATTTGTTTACTATTTTGAATTTATCGTAAAGAAAAAAATAATAATTTTATAATAAGTTCCATTTATGGACGATGGAAGGGGTGACAGAGAGGAGCTGCAACATCCCTGTGTAGCTGAAAATATGCTAAAATAAATAAATGAATAACAATTACAATATCACAAATGGTGTTTTAGCTTATATTACATTCACAGTTTGACATGGGTACGGCGTATCATATTTGCTTAAACCGTATTCACCATTTATTCCAACCTGTTGCAATAAATGGACATCATTGCAACGGGCTGTGTGAAAAAAATAATTAAAAAGTGGTATGAGCAGATCAGAGAGCTCAGAATCGAGCCACAAAATTATGAATGATGCATCTCAATTTTAGATGATTCATGTTGCTGCTATGCTGCAAGGAATATGACCCCTGCAGGCCCACCATCTGCACTCCAAAAATAACCAAACCATGTGACAGTGAATCGGTAAAACACCTCAACACCAGCAAAAGAATCACTTTTGTTTGTACAAAAAAGGTTTTCACTTTTTTCAAGTTGCTACCCTCATGCATGGCATAGCGAGTAACTTTTTTCATTTTATCAGAGTAACTCCTCATTTCTTTTCCTTTAGCTAGTTGAATGAACTCTGCTTTCAGATCGCTCCTGTAACATCTCAGTTCAGACTGTGCAAATTAAGAAGTGATTCTTGAAGCCACTTCAGATGTACGGAGCTAGCCTCTGTTTTTATAATTTTTTTTTTTTTAGGAGGAACAGATGGCTCTAATTATTCACATAATTGGCTTCAGTTAATTGGCTCTAGTAAGCGGGAATTGCCTTAATATTGCGCTTTTGATCACCTTGCACATCAAACAGAATGAGAACAGCATGTAACTTGGATAGGAACTACTTTACACCACTTAGAATTTCCAACATATACATCGCGCCTTCGGAGACGAGACGAAGCCATTGCGGCCTCGCAGTCCCTGGCCTCCTTTCGGCGAGGCAGGTGGCCCGTCGAAGGGATGAGAGAGGACGAGACAAATGAGGCTGAGTGTCTTTCGTTCTATCTGTGCAACCGAGACACTTAGAAGCCTCCTGGTCGCTTAAAATGTAAACAAGACTTTATTTTTGTAATTTCAGGAACCACAGGTATGCGTGCGCAAGTTTGCAGACATAAACAACTATACGCAGCGTTAGCTTTTGACAAAAATAAAGGGTCTGTTTACGTCAAGTTATGTAATGGCATGGAAGCGAACCTCAATTTTATCAATACTTTTGCGCCGCCGTCTATACAACTCAACTTTCTGAGTCTTTTCTTCTTTTTTCATTTTTTTTGTCTTTTACTTTCTTTTTTTTCTTATCCAGGAAGTTGAAAATAAAACTCAAAGAGATGGCTCACGCTGTGTTTTATCTGAAGTCTGAGCTTAAAAGCCTCTTTCACTTTGGCTCTCGCGGCGTACGAACCGGTGCACTCTCTCAGTACAGAGTCAATAAATCACAAAGCTCTTAAAAGTACCACCACGTCCCTCTGGCTGAGGCCAAAATGGTCACTTGTGAGCGTCTTCATCTATGTATTAACGTGCGTGGTTAACTCAGTTCAGGAATTATGTCAGATACATGAATTGAGATCATATCTGTTCACTCCACAGTGTTAATGCTCCCAGTATAAAGGCTCTGGCTGAAACACTCTGACTGGGAAGACTTGGCAGGAGGGAAGCACTAAACATCGAGCTGAGAGGGAAATAAAACCGTCTCTTACCCTGTCATCCCTTAAAGCTCTGTGATGTAGAAAATGTCTTAAGTAGGATTTTTTTTTTTTTTTTTGCAGTAAAGTGGGACATATATAAACCCATATTCTTTAATTCTGTCTGAGATGAAGCTGTTTTATTTAAATTGTAAAAGAAAAATGGCAAAATAGGAGTAAAGAGTTTGTTTCATTTGTTTTGTTTTGTTTGTTTTTTTCTTTGGTTGAACTCTTTTATGACTTGTCTCAGCCCGTTCTGACAGCAGTGAAAATGTTCCCCAAAAACGGATTTGTCAGGCAAACACTTGACCTGCGCTTAAAGGCCAGGGTTGTTCAGCACAGCCGGTGACAAATGTCATCATAAATAAACCTCCCAGATATACACAGCAGATTTAGTTCAGAAATAGAGTGTACAGAGCTAAAGACAAAAGTTCATAGCACCTTTTCAGCAGTTGCTCCAGGACTTTTGCAGAAATTTCTGCTTTTTAATTTGATGTTTTTTGGACTTTGAGCTTTATAAGAAGCAGCTAAAATCTCACCTTTTCACCATTTCCTTTAATTGGCTAATATTTTGAGTTATTTTCTCACGAAGTACCGCAGTACTTTGTGATATATGCCTTTGAAGTTTCTATATCCACAAAATGTTACTTTCTTAAAATCAGCTCCATGCACAGTTAAGCTCCATTATAATTATCATATGCCAAATTATTCATACTGCAAATTATTCATGCCTCGGGCAGACTTGGGCTTAAATTAAGCTTTTAATTTTACCAACATGTTTCATCTGACTGGCTGGGTTGCTGTTTTTTGAGCAACCCAGCCAGAGTTCACACTTGGCTGAGTGAACTCTGGCATGAGCTAAAGATTAGGGTGATTGCAAGGAGACCTTCCAACAGCAAATACTTTGTGCACGTTAGCAAACATAAATGCAGAAAACATCAGTGGAAACTTACAATAAATCAGTCATGCCAATCAAACTTTCTAATGATTATTGGGAATTGTGTAAATTTTTTACACATTTTTCAATTTTTAATTGACTAGAACCAAACAAACATTTTCTTTCCTTTTCCATAGTTTCATTTTCTTTCCCAAGATGCCAGCCTCATTCACACCTATTCAAACGTCTTGGTTGAATAAATAGTTTTACGTCCTGATCTACTGAGGGCATGAGAAAATCGGGCATAACTGTTTACTCCTAGTCATGTGCACAACTTCTACTACAAATGACTCTATTCTTTAAAAAAAAATCCACTTCTGTGCCTCCTGTGCTAACAATCCATTGACCTTACTCATATGCAAATAAGGACAAAGCTACCTGCTTCAAGTGATCTAACTTGCCTTCAGTCGCGTTGCCAAGTGTCCCGATTACTTTGAAATATCTTTGAAATGGGCTGTTATGTCTGAAGAGTCCTTCTCAGAACTCCTGGTGCTCATAAAGTCTTTGCGGTAAAAGCCGCAACAAGCTTTTCCGAGTCGCTCGATGTTCTGCTCCTCTGGTTGCCGGCGGCAGGTGGATCAGCGTTTTTTTCTGCCTCGCCAGGTAGAAACACGGCCTCTCTTGTTTGTTTCAAAAATATTTCCCGTTAGTTGTGCTCAGTCTATAGACGATGCGGCTCTTGTCTGAGTCCTTTCAGTCAAGAGGGTGCAGCTGGTGTTTGTTAATCAGAGTCATGCGTTGGTTGTTTCCCCCTTAATGAGACTGGTACCCTAATGCATATGCAACAGAGAAAAATATGTATCACAGTTTAACTTCAGCCTCAATGAATACCTTCTGTATTAAATAATATCTGTCAGGAATGAATCACAGACTGCAGCAAAAACACACAATGCACCCAGCATTCATCCTGTTGTGTTTCTATAAGTAGAGGGGATACTATAAGAGCTTTGATCCATATGCGGTCATCTCTTTGTATCTGCTGCATTTATTGTTTCAATAGAAACTGTTGTTATCCTAAGCTACTTATAGCAGCTGAAATTCTGTATTTTAGGCTAGTGGTTGCTGTTGTTTCTGTTACGCGCTGGTTTTATGTGCCCTCAGTCAGAATTTATCCCAATCTTCAATCTTTATAACTCATAAAGTCAGTTATTTTCTGTACAATATTTACTGTCCTGCCATTTCCATTTAGAACCACATAAATCCAAAGGAAGAACAGCTTTTTCCCCGTCCCGTTAGCAACACCTGAACAGAATCATACTTGACCTTAAATAACCCTTTGCCCCTTCAGACACAAAATGAATTATGCCCCCTAGTGGTGATAAACAATAGGGGGCATAAATGGCTCCTACACTACAACCAATGAAATCATTGATACCATTCATCCCAGTTAGAATGTCATTCAGCTCATCAATTTCTCAAGCAAAGAGAATATCAGGACATTTAATGCGTCGTGGATCAAGAGGTCTCTGGTTTCCAGGTTGGTTCAATAGTCATTTCAGCTTAGTTGATGTCGTGTCAAGAAGACTAACAAAAGTTACATATAATACTTCTTTGTACAAGCAGAACTTGTGCCTCTGTGAAGAATCTGACTTGTTCCGAGCAAATTCAAACAAGTCTGACTATAGTTCTTACAAGATCAACATTTATGGAGAAAATTGACTTTGGTGAATCCAATTAAAAAGAAAAGAAAAAAAACTGAAGCCCAGCACTGAAAACTTGAGGCAGCTTTAAAGAACTATGTTGACTTAAATTAAATTTATCAAGATAGATCAGCATTACTACTTGAGAAGACCACATAAATGAGAGACCATTTCCATATGAATTTGACTTCATACCTGCCTGCTGTAAAACTTTAATTTATCAGTTTTAGTGATATGTTCCCTAATCCCTAAAGCTTCTGTCTGTGATGAGGTGAAAGCCGAGCAGATTTCTGAAACAGACTGCACTGCAGCATGCCATCTGCAATAAAGTGAAAAATAGATACAGAGGGTCCTTTTGTTGGCCCCATGCCTCCGTCTCCTAGAAAATAACTTCTGTCTGAAAGATGCTTTGTTTTGAAATGTGATAGTGAAACTCATCCTCTGAGTACAGATGGAGACTTTCAGCCTTTTCACATTAGGAAGCAGGACCGCAAGTAGATTCTCTTCTTACATCTCCAATATAGGCACATTGTTTGGCTACTGTGGAAGGACCTCAGCATGAATTTCGGAAGAAAGAGCTTAAAAAGTGTCTCTAAATATGTTGGGTTTAATTTTTTTTTTATCTGTGTTTCTCTGGTTATTCAGGACTCCGGCTATGATCGGCTGCTCCTTTGTGGTCGACCGGGAATACTTTGGTGAGATCGGTCTGCTGGATCCTGGCATGGAAGTGTACGGAGGAGAGAACATCGAGCTGGGCATGCGGGTGAGGGGCTGCTGCATACCACACTGACTTAAAAGAGCATTTAATCCTGCTGGCTGTTTTCACATTTTGTCATATTAGAACCAAAAACTTTAACATATTTAATTGGGGATCCATATGATTCCAAAATAAAGTATTCCATAACTGTGAAGTGGAAGGAGAGCCGTCTATGGTTTTAAACACTGTTTATTCTAAAACTGCTGAATAAAAACCGATCCATGCCACCAGCTGACAACAGAACATTTAAATATGGATTTGTGTACATCCATATCATCCAACTACTGCTGCTGCTCTGTGACGGCAAAGTTGTGGAAAAGTTCACAGCAAGATTAGGTTGTAATCCAAACATAGATTACAGCCTAATCCAAACACAGAGCTGCTCAGTCCATCATCTGAAAATGGCAAAGGCTGTGGCACAATTGAAAACCTACCAAAGCATGGCAGTCCATGCAACCTAACTTAGCAGGCCAGTCAGAGAGACCAGACTGAATTATGATGTTGTAACAACACGAAAAAAGTTCCATGGATGCAGTTTCCCAAAGGAGCTGCCTGTTATTCATAATGCTTCTCGATTTGTGGTGTGACTTTGATTTGTCTTAATTAAAAAGGCAGTGGATTAGAAAAAGTTTTTCTTAGATTTTCTGCAAAAAAGAAAAATTCTTTTAATGATTTTGTGTCAAATCCCAGCCTTCACAAAAAAGCTGTAATTAGAAATCCAATAATTTGTGTCGGTATGGGGTTGAACGGCTCTTCTGGGACTGTTTGTGAAATTTATTTTCTGACTTTTTAAAAGCACTTTTAATGGAGATTTGAATGTTTCTCTGCCTTCGGGATGAAGCTTAGCATATAAAACCCAAGAGGTGCCAAAGGAAGCTATGATGACACATTTATGTTCCTTCAGTTGGGAGTAGAAGGGAAAAAATCCCCATAATGCAAATCTTCAGCCAACCCAAAAGGCTCTAAAGCCGATATAGAAAAAAAATTGCAAATCTCTCTTTTTTTGAGTTGAATTTAATGCTTCATGCGAGCGAGTGGCATGCTGAAGAATCGGTTTGCTTTTAAATTCAGAAAATGTTTCTCTCCAGCCGAGTGGAACCGCTCTGAATCCAGACGCCCTCCTTGGGATTATTGGAGACGGGAATGCTCGGAAGATCCAACTCCTCATTTTACGTTTCACCCATTGCAGAATCTGGAGATGGCTTTAATGACATCTGAGGTGCTTGGTGCTTTACTGGTAAAAAAAAAAAAAAAAAAAAAAAAAAGAGAAAAAAAAAGCACTTGAACTGAGGCTGGAGAATGGATCTTGGGTTGCAAATTGCTGCAGTGCTTTATTGGAACCAGAGACATTTATGGTTGTTGATGACCATTTCAAAGCCTCCCATTATACCCCACTGAGTAGCTTTCCTTCTATATAAATAGCATGTTTTTGCTGCCAGCTGCAGTAATGATACAGTCATCTGGCCTCTCGTGTTTCTAGCTGATCGCTGTGCTGCCGTTATCAAAGAGTGATAACTCAGCAGTTTCTGTTGCGTCTCGGCCTCTCCTGGGGTTAGGCACTGTTTTGTCATTCCGGGAAGCAGCTTTGGCACCTAAGAAAACCACGCTGCTGTGTCAGATGAGATTTGTGGGCAAGATCCATTCAGCTACAGGAGCTAAAAAAAAACCCTTAAACTGGACTCTCAGATACACAAATTTTTGCAGACCTTTTACGCCTATTAGGAAAAACACCACTGCAGATGATAAAGTGGCAGTACATGTCAAATAACGCTCTTTGCATGTCTTAGACCTTGAATTAGTCAGTAGCTTTGGCCATGCAGGTAACATTTGTACTTAACCCACACAGAGAGTTGAGCAGGTGGGTAGAGTAATTGTCTTGCAGTTGGAAAGTTGCTAACTCGAATCCAGGTTCCTCCTGTTGCACATCGATGTGCCTCTAGGCAAGGCACTTAACCCCAAGCTGCTTACCGATCTCTGTATCGGTGTATAAATGTGTGTGCTTTGGTGAGTGCAACTGGCTGTAATGTAAAGTGGTCAAAATGACAGGAAGAGACAAAACCAACCAGCCAGATCAGAACCAAAAGAAACGCTTGCACGGGATTGGTTTGTGACAAAACAAAATGGTTGCCCATTGAGTGGACCTGAGAAGAGGGAGCAATTAGGAATACAGGTCAAGAGGCCCACTCTCAATTATTGAGGGATGTTTGATTACTTTGATAACTCAAAAGTGCATCCCTCTTCTCTCTTTCAAAGCTCTGCTTTTGACCGACATTGTATACATAGAATTTGAGAGTTCAATATATATGTTTATTATGTTTAAGCGTCCTTTGTGACTAGTTTCAATATTACATAGTGTGCAAACATAGTGTGAGTCTCATACATATTTTCTTATAAATAAACTGAATTTTATTTCTGCTTAAATCATGCCACTTGCCAGATGATTAAAACAAATTCACCCTTCAGATTGACTTTCGATGGATGCGAGACTGATATGATGTCAGCATCTGAAATAATCAAGAAACCTTACTATTCACTACACTGGGTTCAGCTCTCTCCCACACAAGCTGCTTAGTGACTCAAATTCCTCACCACTTCACACTCAGGCGTTGTGGTTCATAAAATGACGAAAACATCCCGCACTGTCTGCAAACACAATCAATTCCCTCACTCCTCTTTGTTTTTGACCTGCCTGTTAAATAAAAAAAATGAGTTCATTCCTAAGCTTGAATAGGTCTACAATGAACAACCAGCTCGATTCATTTATAATATACAGCCACTAATGGAATGGAGTCAGGCGACTGACAGGTGGACCACAATTACTCCTCTAGGGCTGTTCATTGAAATGAGCTGAGCGAGTCGCCATTTGGGGAGAGGCTTGATTGACAAGAACATGTTTAGCAATTAGCCAGAGCGGCCCACAATACCAGCGTATCAATTACTGCAGTGAGCTGATGAAAGGCAGGGTTCATCCGGGGAAGGTTACTTGCATGTTTACGTGCGAGCCGCAGACTCGGCGTGGATGAAAAGGGCTTTAAGGCAGCAAACTGCTTTGCTCATTCCCAGCAAGTTGGGCAGCAAGGATGTGCAGAATGTGATTATGCAGCACACGGATACGAGGGTGCCGCTCTTTTCGAGTGGAATGTGATAGAATAAAGTTAATGGCAGAAAAAATTAATTAAACATCTCATTCGAGTTTCCGGTGTGCTGAGGTGTGAAATAACTTACGGGGCCAGGACTTGTAAATGCTCAGAAGCTGGGATGAATCTGCAGAAACAAAGAAAACTGGCAAGATGCTCGAAAATTATGTACGGAAATTATTTAAATCAATGCGGAGGAGCTTTTTCTGTTTTCATTCCTACTGTCCATAATTAGAAAGTTTGTAGCAGTTTGTATTCAGACGCCTTAAACTTTTTCCGTCTCGCTCATGTTACAACCACAAGCTGAAATATATGTTGTTGTGACGATGGATCTGATCTGTGAAAATCTTCTTTCAAGTCTTTACAGCTGTGTTTTGATAGGTGACTGTGAAAACTCAAATGCTTTTCACAAGGAACAGAAATATAAAAAAATCTAAATTTTCGAGCTGTTCATCACCTTCTATGTCATTCCCTCGTCAAAAACTCAGCTGGAGTGTCGGCCTGGATTCTTCCATTCATGTTTGAGAAATCCTTTCATCTCCCATGGAAACGAGACGTCATTGCTCCTTGGAGCTGCAGTTTCCAAGCTGCTGCACTTCTAACTCGCAGAGCACCCCTTCCCTGTGACTCCGTCGCTCAGCTCCTTCAGACTAGCCAGGACCAATTAGCAAACATCTGGTGGAACTACAAGCTACGTCTCAGTGAAACACCAGTGAAAACGTTGTTAAAGGGTTAATAGAGGAGCCATTTTGTGATGACTTCCTGAAGCCAATTGGTTGATTTCTAGAGGCAGTTGATTGCGCTATTAATTCAGGGGTGTCAGAGTAAAGAGGTTGTAGTAGTACAGATGCATGACACTCATTACAAGTCTTTCCTTGCAAGTTTTTTGGAGAAAAAAAAAGAGTATGTTGTGTAAAGTTTGTGGTTGAGAGCAATGTGGACACGTAAGTAAAGCATTTTACTTGATGAGCACCTGACACAGTCAAACACAACATGCTTTCTGTCTCGAAAAGCAACATCGTGTTGGATACACTTGTAAACAATTGTAAATGGCTCGTGTGAACTTGGTGCTCGCCTCTACCGCTCTGTGTGTAAACAGAGAAAAATGATGTTGAGCGGAAATGATGAATTCTACCAGAAGCGTCCGTACGAGTTTACTTTGTGATGAATCTCACACCCTCCTGCTCTGCCGAGTGCCGCGCTTACCAAGCATCTCAGGAGACAAGCATTTTCCTCTGATTTTAAAAAGTGCAATACAACCACAACTCTCATCTGCACAGATTACGTTACACGTAAAAAGACAAGCAGCCGATTCAAAATATGAGGTTGTATAATCAGTGCAAATTTGCTTTTCTTTTGTGGCATAAATGCTCTACAGAGAATTGTGAACTCTCCAAAGAAGCAGAAAAGCTGCCAATGCACTGTTAACTTCAGAATATGCTGTGAATACATCTTTAAATTAGTGCACTTTAAAAAGAATTAAAAGTGGAGCATGTTTTATTTTAGTCCAATGACATTTTGCAATATAATTGTGCCTAAGTTCATTTTGCCAGACTGAACATAATGGTAGTTATGAAATGACAGTTGGTAAAATGTTGTCCAGCTCTGGACACCAGTAATTGCGTCTCATGTTCAGCCATTAGGTAGTGGGCGACGCTTGATAGGAGAACACTGTTTTGACAGTAAGATGCATCCAGCAGGATGGTAAGCCATCTGTCTCGACCATCTGGGAGCTGAGGGACAGGAAAGAGAAATGTGCCGACAGGAAAGCACCACAGCAGGGACGCCTGCAACAGGGCAGAAAAGAAAATGAAAGGGGAAAATATTGTTATTTAATCCAATATCGAAGTATATATAGCATAGACTAAG